CGTCATCATCGACAGAGGTTTGGCCATTTTTGAAACGTGAATGCCACACAAAAGTTTGTGCACGACTCATTGCGGACTCCCCAAATGCTTGCTTTAGCATTTCATAGGTTTCCGTAGCCGTTTTGGCGAGTCTTTGGCAAAATTTGATGCACACTCTTTGTTCATGAAAATCCGCCATTCCGAAATCGCAGGAGGGTCTGTGTAATGCACTACCAAAACGCCCGTAACTAAGAAACAAATGCTAATTCGATGATGCCGGCTGGCACACTGATTCACTATGAATGTAGGCCGCACCCCCTAGCGGCAGAAGCTCGTACTACATCCGGTTCGCCCTCTATTGACACAGTCTTGAAACTTTCCGATTGCACCTCGTATCTTTATGATCGCTGCCAAAATCTTGTCATAACATATATTTGGCCTTCTGCAAAAATGTTCATGTTCCATATATTAAAGTTCTCCATATTTCAAGCATTAGTGTTGCAGTGCACAGACCAGGAGAAAAGCCCTGCTAGTAATTCGACATACGCGCATGCGCAAGATTTCGCTGTGAGTGATGACCTATCCTAAACGCATTCGTTCCACAACCACTGGACAGACAACAGACATCTTTCATGTGTTCTAATGGGTATAACTTTAAGATTACCTCACAGAGGCACAGTGATTTAATCTAGAATATTATCGCAACACCCACAGAACACATTAGAGGTGCACCCACAACACGCTACTCTTAACTGCTTGATGTTTTCAGTCTGTGTGTAGTAGCGTAAAACTGTGACGTATCACACTTCCCACCAATAGCAGCCCTCTAGTCCACCTGATAGTAAACATTCCCCCTGCACCGCCCCAGAAACGACTTCCCCCCGCAGGGCTTTTCTCCTAGTCTGTGGACAGTACAAAGTATCGCTGGGTAATTAATCATACTGATACAGAGTAAAATTCTCGCATTTCAAAGACTGGTTTCATCTCTTAAATATCAAATTCTATAATAGTTCATATCAATGCTTTTGTTTACCTGAAAAGACTCCGCAGCACGTAGTCACTATGAGAGTCCCGTATTTTGTATTGAGTGTTTCCTGCTTTTTGTCTGTCATGAACTGAATTGTGTTCACGAAATATGAAATGAAAAATTTGCCGTAATGTAATGTTTTAAACTTTGTTTCAGTGAAAATATGTATTTAAACATAAAACTTAATCTAAAATGTACTGTTTTCCTAATAATCAGCCCCGTAGGCTCCCCTTCATCAATGGCCAGCAAGATTAAAATAATCGTAATTAGAGGCGTGAGAATCAATAACTCGACGCCACTGTTTTATTGCGTGGTTCTGTGTAAGGTGATCTCGGATCATGATCACGCTCCTGTGTTGTCTATCGTATAATGAAGTTTCCCCTCTTAGAACGTAAACCATGTCAATAACTTACACTGCAGCTTGTGAATGTTGCCGAGACTGATACGCCTGAAAGATTGGTAGTAATCTTATATTCTAAATGAGAAGCACATATTTGCATTGTAATCTGTAGTTCAGTAGTTTGCGTATTAATGTCTGTATATCTGTGAATCACTTTCCGAGTTCTCCTATATCATGTAACATTTTTTTATACGTATTTTGTGATGTTGAATTGTATTTTATCGAGCACGATTTTACGACCCGCCTGTTTCTCGATATTAACTCTTTAAATCTTTTCACTGACGATGAATTCAGCTGCTTGTTGGACGGTATTCGCTTGATTTTTATAATTTTGACATCAGTGCAGTATTTTGCCTCTTAAACTTAAGTTTGTTCTTGAATTCTTAATTTCTTATAATTCCTTTATTTTACTAAGAATTTTTCAAAACAAATAATCAGTGTAAAGCGGCTCATCCATGTACGAGTCTGGCTCGGCGAGCTTGACTCGTGAGCCGGGCTCGGATATATTTCACCACACATGCATAGCAGACTCAGCTCGTGACACCCCACCCACAAACGAGTTTGGCTCCATGGAACCTGAGCCGAGCCGGACTTGCAAGCCAGACTCCTACATGGATGGGCCGCTTTACGTCACTGTTTTATTTCATTAAAGAATTTCAGTTATAACAGTGAAAGGGTTAAATCTTGCATATTCCTAGTTGTACTTGCCTAAGAATCTTTAGTTAACCTACTTTATATCTAATTTTTGTATCTGTAATTAAAAGTTGATGTGCGAATGTTACAGAAATAAAATTGTGGCCCTAATCACCCGTAGTCCTGTTAGAAATTCACAATAAATAAATTTGTCATGATAATTTTCATGAATGGATAATGTTTTCATGGTCTTATTAATATAAAGTGTGAAGCAGACCGCTTATCTCCTTGCGATGCAAAAGTTGAGAACGCACGGAGATATACCTCCACTCCCCCACATTCCTTCACTCAACAACATTGTTCTTATACGATAATAATCAATAGTAGTTTAACAGTTTGTTTAATGATGCTTTATCAGTGCAGACCAGATCACATGAAAAAAGCAAGATTAATATTTTTGAGGTGGTGATGAAGAAATTCCGTGCTCTTATGAAACCCGGAGATGTAACACCATCATCATATTATCCTACCGTTCAACCCTATCCTGAGCAACTTTTGTCAGTTCAGATCCTCACATCCTATGTAATTAAAATCCATTTTACTATTAGACTTTCATCTAGGCTATGCAAAGTCTCCCCTTTCATGAAATTTCACAATGAATTTGTACTCCTGCAGATATTAGTGTGATAGGCTCGGTGTCGGTTTGCCAGAGTTTTGTATTAATTCCGAGCCCTACCTGTACTATATTCACTATGCGTCATGATGCCAGAATCGTGGTGCATGGCGTGCATAGGCTTCTGTTGAGTTCATTTACATTTCGACGTCGGCGTCGCGACAATCAACGTCCGTTTTCCAACTTCTATTTCAAAGGCATCTCGAGGCTCGCCTGTGGAAAATTTGGTGTCTTGGCAGTGTCGCGAAGCTGGGCGTTGATTTATAGTGTCATTTCCAATGGCTCTGGAGGCGTCAAGATGACAGGCGTGTCGTCTCTTTGCGTTGATTTTGTAACGTCGTGTCCAATGGCATCCCGAGGTTCACCTGTCTCAGATATGACGTTCTGAGGGAGCATCACGACGCTTGGTGTCGGTTTTCCTACTTCGTGTCTATTGGCGTATCATTCACTCTAAACTAAATCTTGTGTCGTGACTCTCGGAGTATTTTTTCAGCGCCGTGTTCAAGGGCCTCGTATGGCTCGTCCTCGCCTTAGGCTGGATTTCGTTAGGTTAAGTTATGTTACGTTAGGCTTTGTTATGTTATGCTCGGTTTGGTTAGTTTCGCTTAGATTCCGTTGGGTTCAATTTTGTTAGGTAAATTTACTCTTTTGTTACAGTTTCAACGAAGTCTACATAAATCGTAATTGTAACTTTAGGTTGATACAATCATTACAAAGAATGGGACCCGAAATCACAGTTAAATTATAGGTACAGGTTTGCTAATAAAAAGGAAAGGATAACAAGTTCATATTTCGAGATGTTTACTTTTGTACTACACTCGGCATGAGTCAAATTACAACATCGAAGTTTCGTTCTTATATGGAAAGAAAAAATAGACCTATGTTGACCTTTTGGGTTGTAAATACCTCCTACAATTACACACGTCGTTACAACCCAGAAGACCAACATCGACATCTTTGCCGCCGTGAGAACCTAAAATCTCAGATTATGCCTAATTTTAGTTAAAGGCATGCAACACCTATTCTATTTCTGCGTAACGATTATGTAACATCGTTTAGATTGGATGCGACTATTGCAGCTATCTCGTTTTTCTTCGGTAACGTCTGAGGAAGATTAAAGCAACAGATACAAGTGGGAAAACGGGATCACATAGTCAGAATTTAAAGACAATAAATTAGGGGGATTATCGATAGATGTATAATAGCACCGGCCTGTAAGTGAACGGTGTCAACAGGAAGAGATGTACAGGAGCTGCGGTTTGTAAAGCCTGAGGTTAACCGACCACGAGCTTATATAATAGAAAACGATCAAATAAATACTAAAAAATCACGTGGACGTGTCATGGTACTTTAAAGAGATGTACTGTCTACAGAGTATATTTATATGAACAGTCAATAGGGGAACCTCGACAGACAATCGAACCAGGCTCTAGGCCTAATTTACTGAATAACATGAGAAATTGGGTACCGGTCGTTTGAAATTCCACTGCTGCTTTTCCGATCAGTGAAACAAGACATGTTGAACACAAATGAGTATGGTTTTAAGATACATTTTCAGAAACCATTTCGTCTCTAATTGATTCTCACGAATTTATTGAAACAGCGCGGTGTCTTTCTTGCATCAAATCCTTGAAATGAATATATGGTTTCAATACATTGTCAAAAGATAACTACCGACTAAATGTCAACCATCCGAGCAACGCCCAATGACTTGACGTTGTTCGACACGGACTAGTGACAGCGAGGATTCAAGAGCCCACGAACAATGTGACAGACTGATACCGAGGTGACGTAATACGTATTACGTCACGACAGGAACTGGTTTTCTGTGAAAATTGCTGGAATATGCTGACTGTTTCACCCTGTGTCTATTTTAGCAGCGCTACGTCATCAGATACTGCATGAAACGTTTCCTTTTCCGGCACTCGCAAAGAAATTTCTTGAAATAGCTTAATAATGACAATATTTGCTTGTGAAGTAATTCTGTTTGAAGGCCACCTGCTATTGCAAGAATACTCGACGCCGACGTATAAGCAAATCATTTTATGCAGGCTATTGAACTGTCTTTCATTCACCGACAGTTTGGGCGATGTTATTCGATTGTTTGAGACCACTGTCAAGACAGCGTGGGTTTCTGATCCGGGTACTTTTCTCTTGTCACCAGAAAAGAATATAATACAGAAATGTAGTAGGAGCAGCCATTTATCATGACTGTTTCTCAACCGACGTGGCGCGGGAATTGAAGTATGCAGATGTGTTTATAAACACTTAACAATAGTTCGCAAAGTATGGTTGCAGTAGTGTCATTTCTTCCATCCTGTGTTGTCTTTTCGTTCTCGTTCTAAAATAACTTTTAATCTATTGCAGTTATATGTATTTCCGATTAAGCTATCAGAGTTTTCATAGTGGCAACGTATTCGGAAGACACAGGTATACCTGGTTCAATATCCGGCAGGGCACCAGTTATCCTGAGTTCTTTCGTGCATTTCGACGACCCTTCCAAGCGAATGCATTCAAATATACCACACAAATTGATTCGATTCATCAGCCAAGTTCATCTTGCCATATATAAATTCAATTCAACGCAAAAAATGATGCCACGGAATCGTAAAAAAAGGCCCAAAATACAAGTACACGCACAATACAGGCTCTTGTCTGTCGCCGGGAGTCATAGGACAAGGTTACGCCGGCGGTTACGAAATGTCGAAAGTGATGTGAAGTTGAAGAAGCGGTAGTGGCTTATTCACAGGTACTGCCTCATTAAACATAGATCTGTCCGGTGACCGGTCGAGATTCTAAGAGAAGAGACGACTTGGAAGACTTAGATGTAGATATGGGGATAATTTGAAACAGGAGTTCTGTGAATTACAATGAACCCAAAAAACACAAAATACAGTGATGCTGACTGTCAAAGCAGGGTGGAGTAATTACTGTCTGGTAAGGTACAAATTATATTCATAATGTCCTATCTGAATACGTGAACCTGATAACAGCCACAACTCACCTATGTGGATGTTCTGAGATAAATAGTGGAAAGCTGCCACGTATAAAGTCGACGGAAACATGCAAATCATCCTTTTAGACTATTCACATGCTGAATCTCTTGTAATTCAGCCCCACGGTTCAGAATATCAAATTCCAAAGCCCGCCGTTGAACACGACCCTGAGCCAATTTCATACAGCCTGTTTCCTTAATATTAATTTCAATGTCATCTCTCTTTGCCCCTTGCGTTCCAAGTGATTGTTAATCAAGAGGATTCCCCCCAAAAGTAGCTGCATATTTCTTTCTTCCTCTCAGGGTTGAAATCTGTAATATCGAAAATGTGTTGTACAGAGAAGTGTTCATGAGCTTCTTTGTGGGACGCCAAAATCTAGAAACAAGGCAACAAAAGAAAGAAGAGTTTCTGATTGTTTTACTTGTTTACTTGCAATGACTACGTGAAGAAGTTCGTGTGTAACAGATTCTCTTTGGTTATAAAAGAACGGAAAAAAACACAGTTGCAATTTGTGTTGCCAGAGCAACAAAACATTATTCTTGTTGTCTCTGTGTCCTTTATAACATATCGTATTTCATGATCTTGCGTCACACAGAGTTCGGTGACGTAGGGGAGATGGACCCACGCGTCTTTCCAAACAGCTGCATCACATAAGAGCAGTACAGATGAGCTGGCTTTTTATTTGCGTGTTCTTTGCTCTCTGTGAATACAGAGAACGCATTTCCGCCTGTCCACGTGATGTGGACATTTTCGCATTATTTTATATGCATTGTATTGGAGAATTATGTAATTATTCTTTTGTTTTTCCGTTTGCACTGATCATGTATAGTTTGTATTACACTGGGTAAGCCTCCTGTAATCGGAGAACTTCTATCTGACGGAGGTAAATAAATTACTGATATGTGCCAAAATTAAATTCCTCTATCTTCCAACTTCAACCTCTCAATATTAAATTGATTCTAAATTCGTGAAGTTTAAGTGATTGTGAAATTGAAACATGTCGACCACAGAGGGTGAGAGAAACTGCGAACTGCCTCAGAATATTAGGTGTGGGGTTGAGATTGCAACCTGAGTCTTCCTGAAGACGGAGCAGAATATTCGCTGCTTTATCTGTAACAAAACTCTGTAATTGGGAAGGACCTTACAGAGAGATGTCTTTAGCTCGACTGCAGACAGTTAAACGAAAGCATGTGACAAAACATGACTGACTCTCAGGGTTAACAGCCGGTTATTGACTTTACTTTTTTTGTATTTACACGAGAAATGCTCAAGTAAAATGAGTTCTTAACTCTTTGTTTTGTGCTTCTTGGCTCCGAGTTCACATTCCTGTGTAATGAATGAATGCGGCATGTCTTTGGATGTGGAACCATTCCGGCCCTTCAGAAAAGTAGGATAAACACTTTTGTGCTTCACAAAAACTAAAGATTAAATAAACCATACGAGAGTGGAAAGTAGTAATCCAATCTGAAGTACTTTCCAAAATATCTTAAAATACGTTCTTGCTTTGCTGATCGGTCATCGTGTTCATGTATTGCAGACATGTCTACATATTTGGCGTTGAAGCCAATTATTCTGCACAGGAGCTTAATTTAATTTTTCACTGTATGTCGTTAAACATGCCGAAGTTATAAACGTTATAGATTTTATTTGCAAATGAAGTTACAGATCACATTCACACATACAGGTACTGATGTATTTTGTGTCAGTCTTCGTTTTTGGAGTGAACGGAGATTGTACAATATAAGATGAAGTTCTACTTTAGCCTCAAGAGTACAGATTAGTTGCAATGAACCGACACAAACCGAAATTAAATCCGCTAGATAACTTTTATTTTAGGAGATGCAACAGGCGCACAGACAGCGGCATGGAATCACGCCCACTCGATTAAGTTCGTTAGAGAAAACACAACGAAATTATAATTTTGTCTGTTATTTATATGGCCGTCAAACATTATCTGCGAGCACATGAAGTATTCAAGCTGTCTGAGAACAAATGCCTGCGTTAAGGCGGGCGATAAGCACAGCGATTCCTACATTTAAAAAAATGAATACAAATATAAACTAAGGATAATATTAAAATGTGTCTGAAAAAACATAACGGTGTCAATTGATTCAAGATGGAGCCCAGTGGTGTGACTGTCTGATGATGGCGATAAACATTCAAATGCTGTTAAAATATGGATTTACTTGGTCACGTAAACGTCAACTGTGCGAGAAAGACATCGTTACCAACAGTCTGTTGCGTTGCCCATGTTGCAATACTGCCAGTGCAGCATCTTCCGCTGACGCCGCCCCCAGGATCCTCACGGAACAAGGGAGAAATGGGATGAAATAGGCCACAGACACGCAGATAGCGCCACACCCACATTCTGTCCGGGATGTAGACGGGCGGAAATTATGCTATAATTATAATAATTTATTTCGGTCAATAGTGGTTATAATGCTGATATGTAACTGTATATAGTATGGCCCCTCTTGGGAAGCTAACAGTCGCTCAGCTTTTCAAGAAACATCTCGCCTTTCAAGGTTCATAACCGTGTTCAGAAGGGTCTGCTACTGGTCTGCATCTTGAACGAAGTGAATGTTTTCTAGAATGTGGAACCGTGTAGCCCGGTAGATATTAACCAACGTTTCAGAGGAGCTTACTTAATCCATCATCCCAGAAGACAGTCATGTTCATACTAGTTATAATTATAACTTTAAATCTCAACCAGATTAATCCAGTCTACAACCTCCCACCGTATTTGTTTAAAATCCGCTTTAATAGAATCCTCTCCAACACCAACATCTTCCGCGAAGTAATTTACCTTCCGTTTCTCCCGTGAAAAATGTTTATGCATTTCATATCTCTCACTTGCGTGCTACATCGTCCAGGTCGTCATTCTTTGAACAGCGTAACAATATTAATGAAGAACACATTTTTCTTTAGCCTCTTGTCAGTCTCCCTCCTTAGGTCAAAATATTCACATCAACCTGTTCTCAAACTCTTTTATGTTCTTCGCTCATTATAATGGATCAGTTTCGCACATTTCACACATGATGAGTTCAAGAAGAGATCTCTGCAGAGGTCAGCAGAGATAGAGTAGCAGTAGGAATGTTATCTATGGCAGTGAGTGTACAGCAGTGCAGATGACAAATCCAATATTCAGAGTCCTCTAGGGGCCCTCGGAGAGATTACGCTCACGGAGCGATGCGAAGCGCTAGGCTGGCGTGTGGTGTCAGTAGTTTCCAGTTGTCAGTCCATGACTGGCTTTGGAGGTGTGTGTGTCGGTTGTTCTAGTTCTGTGTGATGTAATCATTCCGATGTCCACTTCTTTCTTTATATTAAGCTTTTAAAACACCAATACAAAATCAAAAGTGGGCATATGCACGTGGCCACGATAAAATGTTACTATTTTTTCATAATTTTTGAATAAACGATTACAGTGTCTTGTGTGAAGTACCTTTTCTTACAAATGAAATAAAAGTGGAGTACAAGGATATATGTGTAAAGTGACTAGTATATTTTTTGGAGCCACGTACACGACACCAGAGAACAGCTGAAGGTGACAATGATGCCTCAACAACAGGATGCAATAGTGCTAGCAAATCCTCAGGTACTGTGATACAATTATTTATGATACCTATTTATTCGTGTGACATGACCCATTCTGATATTCTCATTTGCGAAGTAATTCGTTGTATAGGATCTTGAACGTTCAATAATTATTCAGGTGGTCAAGAAATTGTATTATTCTATGCATCCTGAATGAACATCAGCATCCTCGCCAAAGTGCCATTAATCCTATTCTCTGCAGTTTAAACCGACTTTCATCTTCGCCTGTCTCTGGCATCCATTTTAATATTATTATTCCTTCTACATCTGGGTTGCACAAATGACTTATTTCCATGAGGTTTTCTAACCAACTCCTCACTGTATGTTCTGCCGACCTCATCCGTAATTTAACGGCTATTAAATAAAGATGCTCTGATGAAAGGAGCGATATTAATGCAAACAAGAGAAACGAGTCGTCATTCACATATTTTAATAACGCAAATCCCCCCTGCCCCAAATAAAACTACCTCCGGCGTCCTTAAATTCATTTTATTCTTTTATTTTCAGAACCCCTTCTAATTAAGGTCTTGCCCCTTATCAGGAGGGCCGATACTCGTTCCGCCACCACACATATAAAATGCCAAAGAACAAGTTATCTCAAGCGGTAGGAGATCTGATTTTTTCGGGAGTTGATTGGTCCTTCGGCTATTGAAATATGTTAGAACTACAATGGTTATATAATGTCGGATGAGGTGAGAAAATTATCACGTATGGTGAATAGGGGCGAACTTGGAAGGAAGCTGTCGCTTCAATCAAGTTGGCAGGTAATGATTATACCCCATTCGTACGTTCGACAGCTAATCTGTGTGAAACTCAACTTGACAAAGGCTGTTGTAACCATTTTCGTGATTTTTCGATTCTACAATACTCTCACGCGGTCCTAGTCCATTCGTACGACGACATTAAACAGGTAATGAGACTTATTACCGATTTTCAGTTGTGTCCAATACGTAGTCTTTCTTATGGAAATAATCAGTTCTAGAAAATATTCCTTCTTTTTGTCGCCGAAGGAAAGTCTGTGAAGGTTCAGGTCTACCCCCCCCCCCCTAAGCTAGGGAAACAGGAATTGCGGGAAGTTTGGTCGTGTTTGTACCTGTCACGAGTGTTAAAGGGACCGATATCCTGTCAGACTAACATCGGTCTGTATCTGCACAACACGGTAACCATAGCATATTCTTCTCGCAGTTTTGTTGCTTCATTACCGACAAAGGTGTCCAAACTTTGTTGCACAAAGAGAAGTTGGCGTGTCTGTCTATCTGTGTGCGCCTGTGGCTGGGTGGGTGTGGATGATTTTAGTCTCTCGTTTTGCCATTGGATCACAAAAGGTACTAGTTCAATGTGGGCCACTCAGTCACACCCTGTTTCTCTAGATTCATTTTGATAACATCCTCCCATGTGTGCCTGAAATTTCAGAGTAGTCATTGAGGATTTACAACTAAAATATTTGCTTGTCTCATGTTTCCCCTGCTTGTGCCTGATGTGGTCATCCTGATAAGATGAAGGCTATGAATTATAAAGCTGCTTGCTGTGCAGTGCTGGGTCAAGTAAACGCTAGGGAAACAGGAATTGCGGGAAGTTTGGTCGTGTTTGTGCCGGAAAGGTTCAAGGAAAATAGTCACCTGTTTGTAAAATTGTAAAGCGGACCGACAGTCTGGTCCTTGACCACTCCGCTATAAGGTCACAGCAACCCACTGCTGAGCCCCATCTTTCAATTACAGATGTTTATAACGGGCCTTACGAAAGCTACAGTTCGCACTGTATTGTTATAGGCGGATTTGTAAGAGGCTCAACAAATTGTCATAAGCAGTATGCCTAGTGCTGTAAGAGTGTCATGCTTTTGTGATGTGGGTGTGACTGTACGTCGAGGCCTCTTGGAGCCATGCGATGCAGGCAACGCAGCTATTACAGTTCGCCGCCATGCGAAGGAATTAGTCATCATATGGGACTGACTGATTTTTCGGATACTTAAAGACGCTGTTTTAACTGCAGAGGTAAAATATAGTAGGCCTCTTACAAGATGGGACAACTAAGATGTGTGTGTGAGGTATTCTGAGGATATTTGAAGGTCGTCTCCCACATTTACTTGGAGAGATTGAGGGATGACCCAGAAAAAATCTATATAAAACGATAACCGAGCCAAGATATGAACTGGGTGCCTCATGAATGTGTGTCACGCATTATTGGTAGGTTGTACTCTCCAGCGTTGTTTGTCATAGGAAAATGTGACCGGTGAGTGGTAAAGCCACTGGATAGTGAAGCAATCCCGAAGTTTAAAATGCACGTAACTTCTTATCTTTTACCTTCATGTTTCTGGTAGGTTAGCATGTTTGGGAAACTGCGACATCAGGCAATACACGAAGTTTTTCCTAACATTCAGCTCAGAATTCTCTGTGCTCTTTTGTCAGGCGAATTTACATGCAGAAACTGTACTAGATCGTAGAAGACGTTTTAGATATAAGTTCAGTTCAACTAACGAAAGTGTAATAAATAACCAGTCCAGTGACAAGTGTCGGGAAGAGAGACATAAATTACAAGTAGCAAGCCCCAGCGACTTTACTCTTGCTTCAAAAAGACTTCAATCCCTGCCCAAGAACGCGAATATATTTCACGACACACTTCTTATAAAACTGGTAAAGTACAACACAACATTCTTTAAAACTACAAACTCCATGGAGCAGGGTCATTCCAGATAAGTTACCAGTCGTTCAAATAGGCAAGAAATTCCCTGCCATTTATGGAACCACAAGGTTCTTAAGAGTGTTCATAATATCTCGCGAGGCCGATGTTCTCTGTAACATTTTGTAACGTTTCGGTGTTTACGGTGAGTCGTTAGGTCCTCGTCCAGTCTTCCAAATAGGAGGACCGCCCACTGTTGGTTGTACGCGACTGCTTATTCCATATAATTATATCTACCCTCCATATTTGGAAGCCATTTCCTCTATCCACAACCTGAGGACTCTCCATCCGTAGTGACAAATGATCAACTTCATGTGGGTAAAAACTACGCTTCATCAAATCTGAATAAGAAGAGAACACGTAAAGGAATAAATCCGCAATGTTTTCGTCATCTTTCGGCCTCAGTCCTATTGAACGAAACATAAAATCCATGTGTGATGTCAACTGATTTTAAGATGGGCAGCTTGATTTAGCTTTTGTGATTGTGGTGATAACGGAAAAGAAATTTCTTGATCGGCTGAATAACTCGAATTGGAATTGGATGATCGGTTGTTTAGTTAAAGTTGGTAAACCGACAGAGCTTTGATTGTACATATGTAGCTGTGTAGTGGTTGGTAGCACCCGTGTTTTATATTCGGGCGGGAGGCTTCGAGCTCGATTCTTGGCCCGAAGACTAGCTGTCCCGACTGAGGATTTCCGAGGTTTAACTCAGTCCCTCCAGACAAACGCCAAGGCGTTTACCTCAACACGTCAAAATTCATCATCCACACGATTCTATGGTATTAATTATGCGGTTGAAAAAGCCTGTCTTGAAGTAACCCCGAACCAAGTCGTATAAGAAATAGCAGGATCAGTGGAATTAACTCTTGCGGTCATCTGAATGAAGAAACTAGGGCAGGCCTGTCAACTATGCCGCTCTGTTAGATAACGGAACATGTAACAAACATTGTACATTTTGATCATATCCGTAGCATTTTCTGTTCAGTTTTCAGAGACATAATTTCAACATTTGTGGGGCTTGGGGGCCCCTCTTATTCGGTTGTTATTACTAGTGTTAATTTAAGTTTGAATTATATAGACTCATATGAGTCAAGTGAACCCAGTCGACCGACGCTTTTCACCCCTTCTATAACATACATTTAAAAACTATCCAGTGATAATAATCCCTGCTATTTGAAACATACAATCTGAAAGTTTTAACATGTATAGCACCAAGTTGCAGTCTTCGGTAAATGAACATGGCATTCTTTCTTATGTACTCCTTATGTGTAATTTATTCTTCACCTGCGGCCATTTTACAATTGCATTTTAATATTTCTCTGTACTACATTGGCAGCACTGTTTTCAGGTTTCCTCGGGTGTTTATTGCTTCTGGTGGCGCCAGTTCCGACCAAATCGATAAACCTTGTAGCAAGCAGAACGCTGTTGAATGGAATACAGTAGGCTGATGAATGAATCGTGTGTTTTTCTGTACTAGAACACCCAGTGCTCGAGCGAGAACTGCAGGAAATTGTTTCGGTACCGTGAGCACTTCTGCTTCCTATTCGGGAGGTTCCGGGTTTCAGTTTTAGACACAAGACCGGTCAACCTGCCTGAGGTCTTTCTTTTCCTCACTTTCATCAAGCTGATATCGGTGCCTTAAACGAGGCCTCCACTGTTTCCTTTCCATTCAGTATTCATTAGATAGATATATAACGTCGAATGATTTGGAAAGACATTGAAGGACGCGGTAGTGACCAAATTTAAGGTACTGTCCCGGAGGGACGTCTGTAAAACTACCTGTAAGGATGGCCAGTCCCCTGACTGAGGTTTGAACTTGGGATGTCCCAAATATGAAGCAGGAGTTCAAACTACTGCACCTGCGTTCGATGTTCTTAGTTATGACATTTGTTATTCAGAAGAATTGCGAACAAGGAAGTATCAAATGGATTGCTACGTTTATATGGAGCAAGGCCGGCCGCTTGTGAGGAACGGTGCTTTTGTGGTGACCAGAGAGTCGCTTTGCATACGAATTTTGTAAACATTGATAGGTCGAATTAAATTTGAAACCTTTCTGGATAGTTCTGTGGGCGTCATTGCCAGTGTATTGCAGTAAGAGAAGAAATCTCCCTTACAAGTGTCAACAGTGTCTTTCCTTATTCCGTTTATCTACTGCCTCTGTGATATATTTATACTCCCAGGTGATACGCAGTAATAAGCAGGGAGTGTTCTTGAAGAGCTGATGTTTACCTGTTCGCAGAATTTTATAGCATTAATAGTTTACTACCGCCATCGTGGAAGTCTCCAGTGTGATCCTGGCGTGATCCAATTCATTCCACGAATAAT